TGAGTTAAAATTAAAGTTAGTCCAGAATATTAATTTAGTTGGTAAAAGAGTTATAGAGAATATAGAAAATAAATATTAAAATATATCAATATTTGAAATTAAAAATTATGCTAAAATAGAATAATAATTAATTTTAAGTTGTATTAAAATAAATTATATCTACATGAATAAATAAGAGTAAAAATGAATATTTATGTAAATAATTATTTCAAAAAATATTTATTTAACTTTAGTATAAGATTTTGAAGAAAAAGAATTCCTTTAAATTTTTTAAGAAAACAACTAAACTATTTAATATTCATTAAATACTCAGGGATAAAAATTTGACTTTATAATATGAAAGGATATGGTTCAAATCTCATCTTAGACTAACATAATTGTAAAACACTACCTCACTTTTTTATTATAAGTGGTTTTGAACTTTTTTTTCATATTAAAAAAAATTAATATATAAAAATGAAAAAAATTATAATTTTTTTTTATAAAATTGTATTTTATTAATAATATGTGAAAATAAATTTATATAATTAAAAACAGAGAATAATAAATATTTAAGAATATAATAGAAAAAATATCATTAATTATTTATTGGAATTGTAAAACAATTTATATTGTGGTATCATTTTTTTTAAAACAACTTATAATAAAAAAATGAAGGAGTAGTTATTAATTTTATTTTTATTAATAAATTTTTTTTTGTCAAATAATTTAATAATTGGAATTCATTTTTTCAAAGATGAATAAATAAGACGTCACATGTTCAAATCAACGTCTATATATGATACAACACAATCATCAATTAAACTGGTTTAATAATAAAATTTTCATTTTCTTAATTATTATTATTATTATTATTATTATTATTATTATTATTTATTATTATTATTATTATTATTATTATTATTATTATTATTATTATTATTATTATTTATTTAACTCTATAAGTTTATAACCAAAAAAAACAATTAATATTCCCTTCAACTTTTAAGAAAACAACTCAACTATTAAATACTCATTATATCGGTTTGTTTCAAGGTTACAAAAATTATTTCTGAGAATATGATAATGGGAATGTAATATTTTCATGTTTGATTCAAGTTTTAAAAAATTATTTTAAGAAATTTTTTATTCTAAAAAATATTATTTACTTATATATTCTCTATTCCTATTCCAACGCATAAAGAATGAGAATAAAACATTCTCATGAGAATAAATTCAACTAACTCACTTTCCACTATCACTCCTATTTACTATTTTTTTTAAATTATTTTATAATTTAAAATTAAACAAATTTTATAATTATTTTTAAAAACTTAAATTCTTACCAACAAACACATGGATTGAAATAGTATTCCCGAGAATAATAATCTTAGAAATATCATTTTAAAGAATAAAATTTTCAACCATAAAACAAACACATCTTAAATGGTTGGTGATAAAAATTTGACTTTATAATTTGAAAAAGGTGTTTTAAAAATCAAACTGAACGGACCGTTCAAATTGGTTTAACCAAAAATTGAAAGACCTTTGATTTGATTTAATTGTTAAATTGGATAAACTATTAAACTAATAGAAATAGGTCAAAATCGATAAAAATTGATGACCATTCGACCAATAATTTTTGAAAATAAGTGGATTAAATGCATACTTTTTTCCTCTTACAAAATAATATCGTTTTGATATATTTTTTTTAAATAATAAAATTAAAATATAAACAAATTTTGTTCAAAATTTATTTAGAATAAATTTTAGAATAAAATTTATTAGTAACTATAGTTATTTTGTTATTCAATTTATTTTGCAGTTAGACTTTGTTTAAAATTTATTTAAATTTTTATATTTTTACTATTTTATTATATAGGATGATTATATTTAGAATTTAAATTCACATAATAAATTTGTGAAATTATAATATTTTAAAATTTTGTAGGAGTCATAATTTTATTTTATAGATAAAGTCATCAAATTCAATGTGATTTTGTCATCCGATTCAACAATAACCTAGAGATTCAATCAATAAAAAGTGATACAATATTTCTACCAATTTAATGATCGGTACGATTTTTAAAATATTACTTGAAAGGATATGGTTCACATTTTATTTTATATGATATGGATGGTAAAATAGTTATTAATTTCAATTTTATTAAAAAAAATCTTTTTTTTTTAAATTATTATTATTATTATTAAAAAAATATTAAAAACTACGAACAGGATTTTTGAGGGTGTAACTTTAACAATTGTAATATAATAAACATTACTTTTTTAAAAACAAACAATAAAAAAATATAAATATAAATATTATTATGATTATAAGCACTCGTATCAAAACCAAACATTTACAGATATTTTTAAAAATTATTTTTTAAAAATAAAATATAATATAGTCATATAAAATTAAATTTAAATGGAAACAAAAATATAAATAATTATTAAATGAAGACCCACAAAATAAATCTGGGAAAATAGTAGTATTTGAAAAAGTGGAAATTATTTTTTATAACACCAAACACTTTAATGGTCATTTAATAATTATCTTATATAAATTTGAAATATATCCATTCAGATTATAAAGTCAATCTCTTTTTTTTTTTTACTAAATAAAGTCAATCTCTTAATAATGATATTTATATTAAATGTTTATTAAAATTTCTTCAAACGTTCTAAATATTGTATATTCAATGTATTGAGTTAAAATTTATTGAGCATAGTTTTAAAATAACCATTTGTAACACTTTAATTAATAAAAAGTTATCTTTCCTTGATTTTTCATGTTTATACAAACTTAATTGGAAAAAAAATTCATAAAATTAATTTTAAATATTTAAATTTCCCTACTTGCAACACAAAAATAATTTTAAAAAATTCAAAACTGTTAAAAAAACAGTGTTAAAATTCTTGAGAAATTTTTATATTGTTTTTATTAACTCTGAAAATTAATCTCTACTGTTATATGATCTAAGAATACTGATTTTACTAAAAATATATATATATATATATATATATATATATATATATATATATATATATATATATATATATATATATATATATATATATATATATATATATATATATATATATATATATATATATATATATATATATATATATATATATATATATATATATATATATATATATATATATATATATATATATATATATATATATATATATATATATATATATATATATATATATATATATATATATATATATATATATATATATATATATATATATATATATATATATATATATATATATATATATATATATATATATATATATATATATATATATATATATATATATATATATATATATATCATAATTAAATTATGACTCAAGTGATCGATCTACTAAAAAATTTACTTTTATTAACTGAAAAATTTAGATCTCTCTAACTTTTGAATAAACCCTTAAAATTAAATGTCTTAACAATAAAATTTTAAAAGTTATTAAATTGATCATAAAATAAAATTAGTTAACAAATTAACGATCAAATATTGTGACTGTAATATTTAGTCTTAAAGCATTTATATATAAGATTAATTTATAAAAAATTCAGCGATCAAAATTTTGGTCGCTAATTATTTTAGTTTTTTATTTATTAAATTACTATTTTCTTCTCATTTTCTCTTTTACTTTTTTAATATTTTGATTCCTTCCAAATTTTTATTTTTTAAATAAAAGTTTCACTTTTTTTTAACAAATAAAGAATATATTTATATAAAAAAATTGGTTATAAAAATTGATTATTTAAAAAAATGAAATTTTAATGACAATTAATATAAATTTTTTTAAATAATATTTGAAATTTCTATTCTGTTAACAACAAATACAATTTTAAATATGAATTTAACAATTATAACGCACATACTTCTAAAATCAAAAGGCATTGGTTGTTTTTTAATCAAGTGAAAATGGTGGCTAAATTCAATCACTAATTTAATTATTAAATATATTATTAAAGGTTAGTGACTAACACTTTTTCAATTAAAAGTTAATTTTCACTTTATTGATCGCTAACGTTATAATGATAGATTTTTAAGCTTTTCCAATTTTTAATTTAATCATTAAATGCAAAGATAGCTCATTAAATTGGTCGTCACTTATGGTAAGTGGGATATTTTAACTTTACTAATTTGACATTTGAGTGTGTGAGTCATTTGTTCAGAGTTATGAGGTTAGTTAGTTGATAATCTGATAATCTGATTAAAAAAACTAAATTTAACATATGAGTTTTGCTAGTGTGTGTCCTAAAGGAACTCTTTAAAGGTTCTTTATAAAGAACTTAATAATGTTTAGTATTTCAATTCACAATGCATTGAATACACAATTTTTTATAAAAACTCATCGTTTTAAGTATTTTAAGAGTTTTTTTTTAGATTTTATTTGTAAGTTTCAAAGGGAAGGAATAAGAAGATTTTGAAAAAAAGAGAATGATTGAGTGAAAATAATAAAAGAATTTAGGTAGAGATGATTTTCAGAGATTTATTTTTATTTAAAAATTAAAATCTTTTTAATTTTAGGGAATTAAAAAATTGTATTGGAGTAGAGGTTTGAAATGTTTACGAGGATTTAGACAAATTGTTCAAATATAATCTATGTTATTATAATATTTCAAAAATTAAAAATATGTTAATGATAAACACTCTTATATCATGCTATATAAAACCATTCTTTCAAAAAGCACATTAAAGATTTCTCTCTCTGTATATTTTTAATTCTTTTTACAAAGTCCTCCCTTTTTGTCTTCTCAAACTCTCAAACAAAAGTGTGATGATTTTTGATAAAAAAAAAATTTAAATTAGGAAAACAATATACTCCTAAATTTTTTTCTTTTTTTAAAATTGAAAATAATATCTAGTATCCAAACAAAGCCTTAATGATGTTTGAGGTATAACTCTATAAAAACCGAACGATATAAGAGAAATAACACATACGCACAAAAATTTATTTCTTGTTAAGTTTTTTGAAACTCTGATGCGACTATGAATAAGAAGAAGGCGAATTGTGCCCATACAAAGTTAAGGAAGGATAATTCAAAGAAGGTAAGAAAATTTGCAACTCTTTATGATATTTTAACCATTGTTATAATTTTTAGCCTTTTTTAATTTTAAAAATTAGGTCTCTCATAATTCACAGGTAGGTAATCAAGATGTTGAGGGGGGTCAGAATTCATCTTTAGTAGATGAAATGAAGAATGTGAGCCAAGTGAATTTCATCCAACAACAAATTGTTGAAGCTAGAGACAAATTGGAAAAGCTGAAACAAGACAATTGTAAGAAAGAGATGGATCTTCTTATGATCAAAAGTATTCAAAATCCAAATATGTTAGCCAACCTCACTAATGGTGATTCAATTGAACTCAACAAGATGTTAGATGAAAAAATTAAGGAGATTGATGCTAAAATTGCTTCACTCAATTGATCAAATGTTATTTGAAATTATGTATCATGATTATGAATAAAATTCGTGGATCTGAATAAAACTCATAATAAACTTCTTTTTTATAATTCTTTTATCAAAAGTCATCGTTAAAATTTGATAATTTAAATTAATATTTTATATATTATTAGCATATTTATTAAAATACAAAAAATGATAGTAATTCCAGTTTATGAGAATCATAAGTTTTTAGGTTGAAAAATCGAATTTTAGTTAGAATTACAATTCTAATATTGAAATTTAATTAAAATTGTTTATTGAGACTATTTGAGGCCACCCAAAGGCTCAATACGGGTGATATCCGTATATCCAGGACAATCATACAAAACTCAATCAAATTATCCAACATATATAATCAAAAGATGTGAGATTCAAGGTATACTTGTCTAATCTCATAATTCCACTTCACTCATCTTAGACTATGCAACTAACTTAGACGTTGGAGTGCTAACCTTGCATGTCCTTTGTAACACCTCGAATTTTAGATTAATTAATTAATTAATTTAGTATGATTATATGAGTCGTGGTGAATTATTGGAGTGTATGATGTTTTGGTGCTTTAGGTGAATCATTGTGATGACATATATTCGTGATGTTGTGATGAATATGAAGACTTATGTGATGTTTTGAAATGATTCATGTGATATTATGATGATTTGTGTGATGCTTAGGTGTATTGAGGGATTTGGGAGTAATTTAGAATAATTTATAATAATTAAAATAATAAGTGGAATTATTTTAATTAGAAGAACAAGAGTTATTTTAGTGTAGAGGAAGTAAGGACAAGATGGTCAATTGAGAAGGAATAAATGAGGACAAGATATGGTAGGTTGGATATTAGGGGTCTAATAGAGTTACACGAGGAATAGGAAATATTATTATATTCATACGATCGTGAGATTGAGAGAAAAGCAAGGACGCAAAACTAAGGAACAAAGAGGCAAAGGAAATTCATAGAAGAACCAAAGAAGAGTTGCAAATTTGCTGCTATAATCATAAGGTAATGGGGTGTTTATCATTGTTATTATAATTGATCTAAGGTTTAGATAATGGTAGATTTGTGTTTAGTGTGTTGACTTTGATGAAGATTGATGAAATTGATGAAAAACCATGTGTTGAATGAATGAATCCTTGATGAATGTGTGATATTAATACCTTTGAATAAGTGTTATAGGTTGTCAAGAATGTTATATAATCATAGGATTTCAAATTCTTAAACTGAGACTTTTTAAGGAAACGAGTTTGGAGGTTCAGAAGGCCTCAAACCATGGAAAATTGTAGAAGGAGAAGTGTTGTCTGGTTAGCATCGTCGAGCAACGCAGATGTTGCAACTGGTTTTTTAATCAGAGTCGCCATCCTTAATTTTTATCCTAAAGGAAGGGAGTATAAAGGAATAACCCTAAAAGTAAGAGATTCTAGATTTGAACTCAGTTCTAGACGAGGAGAAGGTGTTAGGGACCCCTTATCTACCTTGTTCACAAGGATACTAGGCTTAGAAGCGCGGTCTTAGGAAATAGGATTTTTAATTATTATTGGGAAAAAGGGTTTGAATTTTATTTAGAGAGACTCACTGCGATTTTAATCGTATGCCTACGTATCCTCTTAGTAGGAATCAAAGTCCCATTTCGTAGTTCGCGGGGTTGTTTGTAATTTTTATGGATTGCAAAATATATTTTGAATTTACCGCATACGTAGTATAAGAGTGTGAATAGCAGAGTTTGTTAAATCAAGTATGTAGTTAATTTAAATATATTTGTATTCCTTTTCGAAAATTAATTGTTCGAATTAATTTAATTTGCGAAAAAAGATTTGGTGTTTGATTGAATATTTCTTATACGTAGAGCAAGGGAGTCTGATATAGTCTCCTCATCACGTGGCTAGATATTGGCCACATGTCATTTGTGGATGGTGAATTGGGTGAGTTGTGTGGATTTTAATTGTTTGATCTTTGAATAATAAATCGGTAGATGATGTGTCGACCGATTTAATTACTTGAAGGTGGACATCCTATTATTTATAGAATATTTGAATTAATTAATTGATTATAAAAATTTTTGGATTAGTACATGTTTAAAAAATTATTTATAAGTTGATAATGAGATTAATCGGGAAAAATTAGTATATGTACAAGTCAGGTGGAAATTTATTTACATGTGATATATTTTTGATTTAATCGAGAATTCTAACAATTATGCACAAATCAATGATTTGTCCTAATTAAAAGTTAATCTAACTAATTTAAATAATTTAATCGAACTAATATATACAAATAAAATATCCTAATAAGATAAAATAAAAAGATTTTTTATTTTGTATTCTTATAATATCCCTAAATCTAAAAAATTAGTATAAATAGTTATACATTTAGAGCTCATTAAAGCCCATTAACTAAATATATTGTAAGTTAAAAATAATAAAAGGAAACATTATGCAAATGAAAGATGATAAAAAAATAATAAGGAAAAAATGGAAATAAAAAAGGATCCAAAATAGTGAAAACTAAAATTAGATATACCTTCTTTCTTTCTTTCATGTATGTTTCCTCGTTTCTTTTAACAAAACTTATGTTCTAAAGAACAAACAAAATAATATTAACAAATGCATAGTTTCTTTTAACAAAACTTATGTTCTAAAGAACAAACAAAATAATATTAACAAATGAATAGACAGTGAGATACCGATTGGGGCGGAAACAATTGTTATCCTCTCTCTTTTCTGCACCAACAAAAGAATAACAATACACAGTTTTCCAGATTCTTTTCTATTTAAGTTTTTTAATTTGTAAATGTTGGTTTTGGAGATCTGAGAGCAGATTTTTGTATGAAAACTATTTGACACAATAGAATCTCTAATGAAGAATCATCTAAAATTTTGCAATGAATTTTCTTGTGTGTAATTAGTGTACCAATAGGACTTGGATGAAAGTTTTATGTTAGTTACTACTATAAACAAAACTAAAGCGTGAATAAAAAAAGGTTTGTTGAGACTGCTCTATGGATTCCTGCTCCAAAGTTCATAAGAAAAGCTATAAAAAAGATTTGGGTAATTATCCAAAGTTTGTGTTTTATGCGAGAGTAGAAAGAAAGAAAAAAACGTGAAAGAAAGATGATGACATATTATATGGTTAAAAAAAATATGTAGATCGTTTAAAAATATTAGCACCAAGTTAAACCGAAATAATATATAAAAATAAATAATGTTAGAGTTATTGTATGCGTAAGTTAGTGTTAAAATTGTGCACATGACGTGTTATTGTGGATACTATGAGAAAATATTATAAGTGTGAACATGATGATAACAACACAAACTCTCACAATATCAAGAAAGACAAAAAATAAAAAAGGTGGCCTCATGTTAAATTAATTTAGACACATGTTCATCTAACGATTAATTTGTTAATTATCGGCCAAAATAACAAAATAACACCAAATGTTTTAAAAAGAAAACTTTGAGAAGAAAGTGGGTGCAATTGTGAAATTCTTGATAAATTGTGTATAGTGATATTGTGAGAGATTCTGGATGAATTGTTTATATTGTGGATGATCTATAAGTATGAAAACATGTCTCATTTATAGATAAAAAAACCATCCAAATTAGAAATAAAACAAAAAAAAGTTGAAAGTGCGCACAAGAGATTCAAACTCGTGACCTTACGCTTGCAAGCTTCATTCTTCATCAATTGTGATGTTAGTGATTTGTAGATAAACTCAATTTGAAAGTATACGAAAGGTGTGCAAATATTTATTTATCCAAAAATACAAATGATATGAAATAAATCATTATATTTTTAAATAGGTTAGTAAGAGACTATTTATAAAATTCAAATAATATTATAAAAACCATGTTTAAAATATTTTTTGATTGTAGAAATAAGGTGCGAGTAAATTTGGGGTATGACAATTGTCCCTATTTAATTATCTTTCGATTGAATAGTGCGATAATACACAAGTCTTGCACGTTTCGATCGGAAGTTTATTAAATATTAGAAGACCCCAAAATTTACTCGAAAAAATTATAAGGAGACGTTGTACAATGTTCCCATGAGTGTGAAGAATAAGCATAGATGATGATGTATCATCTTACCAGTGTTTGCACCAAAGTTGAGGTTACTTAGATATGACGATGCGGCTAACTTGCCAATACCTAGAAAAGAGATCGTAATTTTTTTGCGTATTTACCATGACCTAGGAGGTAAACGACACAAGTTGAAAGTTTATAAGGATATGTTGTACATTGTTCCAATAGGTATGAAGAGTAGGCATAGATGATGATGAATCATCTTATCAGCATTTGAACCAAAGTTTTGATTTAACTTAGATACAAAGACGTGGATAACTCGTCAGTATCTAAGAGATTGTAGATTCTTTTGCATATTTACAAAAATACAAATTTTGAAAAAGTTGACTTACTAATGCTTGAAGACTAATATAGTAAGTTTTGTTTTGATTTGATTTTGTCTATTCATTGCAACCTAGGGGATGAATAAAACAAATTTTGATAACACATTGCTGCATGGAGACTAATGCAATAGATTAAGAAAAATTATTCAGATATCTATCGTAACCTAGGGGGTAAATAATTGAAAAAAGCTTGATAGCAACATCGCTGCATGGAGACTGAGGCAATGAGTTATATCGCAAATTTCATACATTGCTGCATGGAGACTGATGCAATGGGTTATATCGCAAAGTAGGAAACACGTTACTACATGGAGACTGACGCAATGAGTTATATCGCAGATTTCGTCATGTTTACTACAACCTAAGGAGTAAACAGTACGAGGATGAACCTATGTATTTATCACAACCTAGGGGATAAAAGACAACATGGATGGGCTTATGTTATTCATCACAACCTAGGGGATGAATAACATAACCCTGGAAATTTGCATATATATATCGGAACCTAGGGGATACATAATTAAAAAAGCTTGATAACACATTGCTGCATGGAGACTGACGCAATGAGTTATATCGTAGATT